TCCTCCTTAGCAGACATTTCAATGTTGAAAGGGTTGCCTGAAGGAGGAAAGTTTTATGGGGAAAGCTATTGTTTTAATGTACTCTTTGTCTCATGCTTTCTTTAGGCACATCTGGAAAAGGATGTCACAGGATCAACAGAAGTACAGAACCCAGTAGATCGTTGGACACCTCTCCAGCTGTGGTTCAGCAGCAGACAGCTTGTTGATGTGTCTCTAAAGTAAAATATATTACCATCATAGAGTTGGAAGGGGACTCATTGTTTCATGCAGGAAATCCAGAGCTAGACCACCCCCAACAGATGGCCTCTGTTTGAAGACCTCCAGTGATGGAGAGCCCATCACCCCTCCAGGGAATTGGTTTATATTGTCAAACTGCTCTTGCCATCAAGAAGTGTCCCCTGGTTGGCCACCATGGGACCTTCCAACTCTTTGTTCTAATATATTAAATTCCTTCTCTGCCCCAACTGTGTCAAGCGAATCCCAATGCTTGTTCTTCCCCCATGCTGTTGATATCAATTTTTGCCCAGTCCAATGGCCATCTCTCACAAGATTCAGACATTCACTTTTAAAATGGTACATTTGGGCTGAAGGAGGTTGATCAGAGCTCATCAGGATTTGCCTGGAATGAAAGTAACATTGTGCTCTTTAAAAACCTTTTTGTGCTGTGTCAGGATGAATGCTCACACTCCCAGAGTGTTTAATTAATTTAATAAGTTTAATAAGTTTACTCAATGAGGAAAAAAATGAATGGCAAATAACAGCAGGCTCCTACGCACAATCACTCAGAAGTCCATTGGGGTTTGATTCCTAGGAACATAAACTTAAATCTGTAGGCCTGAGTTGCGTAGAGAATCACTTCTTAGAGGCTAGATGCTTTATTATAGAATTTTGGGTTTTGCCCATGGGAAATGCTGACTCGCCACCTTTCCCCATCTACTAAACACCTGCCCCATCAGCCTCAGCTTTCCTCTTCTTGCCTAGCTAATAGAGATGTTCAGAGAAAGAAGAAGAGGAGGGCCACCTGCCGCCACCTGGAAGTAGCCTTGGGAAAACTACAAATCCCAAGGACCACCATAGCTTTCCTACTGGTACTCAACATAGTAATACACCAAGGGGCAGTGGGGACAGACCTCTGTCCTTCTTAGATACCACCATTGCTCCTCCCACCACTTGCACTGGCCAGGTGCAGTAAATAAAGGAGGAGGTAAGTGTTATGGAGAACTGGTGAGTGATGGGAAGGATGATTTGGAGACTGGGATGATTGGCAGGGGAGCGGGAGGGAAGCCAGGATTTTAATCCAAGCTTCTCTGAGTCTAGTTCAGACAGATTTCACCCATCTCCATTTACTTCCAACAGTTATTAAGCTACTGGTGTTGGAGCAAGGTTAATATCACAGTAGCCACAAGGAAAAAGTTGTTTCTGTTATTCCAGAGAAATGATTGTCAATGCAAGGCCTTACATAGTTTATAGCTGCATGTGGAGGGAAGCAAGAGGTAAACATGCCATTTTTCAAAGAAGATCTGGAAAAAAGTAACCCAGGAGTTGCCCTTGGGTTTGGGTTCTTCTCATCTCTTTGGTCCAATAAAGGGCTGTTGTTCACCTTTTCAGCATAAATGGCTTGGACTGCAAAGATTGCCATGCAAATCTAGTGTACCTGCTGCTTCTCTAGGAAATCTTTGTTTACTGGAAACGATTGCAACCTTTCTGTGAGCAAATGTAGCTTTGGGATAGTGCATCGTGCTGTAAGAAGACTCTTCCTCAAGAAATGGATTAGTCCTTGATCTGTAAAAACAGGTCATTTTTACATATTTATCACACTGTAAGGGGATTCAAAAAAGTGACTTGGGTTGCCTAGGTCAGTGTTTCCCAACCACAGATGTTGCCTGGTGTGCCGCGGGAAAAATTAAAAAATTGAAAGATTTTTTTTTTAAAGTCAAATTTTCGATTGGGGCGCCGTCACTAGATGACCCCTGGGGTTCCCTCCCTCCCTCCCGCTCTGCGCCTCCCTCCTCCTCCTCCGGGGAGGCCCTTCCTGGCTCTCGGCCAAGGCTTGGCGGCTGCCACTCACTCACTCGCTCGCCCACCCGTCCCTCCATCCCTGCACCCGGCCTCTCCCCCTCCGTCCCCGGCGCGGGGGCTGCCGGGATCCGTAGTCCCCTCGCCCTTGGGCTCCGCGCCCGCGCGGGGTGCGCAAACTACGTTTCCCAGCGTGGCCTGGCGGGCCGGGCGTTTTGTTTGAAGCGCTCTTCTCCCGGCCATGGAATGAGCGCGGCGGCGGCGGCCGGGCGGGCAGGGGCTCTTCCGCGCAGACCCCGCGCAGCCTACCTGCGCCCCCGCGGAGATCGGGCGGCAGGATGGAGGCCGGGGATCCCCGCGGAGCGGCGGAGGCGGAGGCTGCCCCCCAGGTAGGGCTGCGTCGGGGGTTTTTTATTTTTGCAATGCTGCATCCGCGCCGGAGGGGACGCATCGGACCGCGGGGAGACCCCTTGGTGGGCGTGCAAGGCAATGCATGCATGCAGGCATTGCATGGAGTGCAGTGCAGTGCAATGGCAACGTGGCGCCCTGCATGCATGCATGCAACTTCCACCGGCGCTCCGGACTTGGCAGGTGAGGGGGGTCCCCAGTGGGCGGCAGAGAGAGCCGGGAGGGTGAAGGGGAGCCGGGGGGAGCAGCGCTGCTCCCCGAGCCGAGCCCGGGGGGAAACTTCGGCGTCGTTGCGCCGGGTGTTGGAAGTGGAGGCTGGCGGGGGCCCCTCACCTGCAAAACCTGGTCACCTCTCATATATTTCGTGCATTGCATTCATCGCCCGCTTTCTCCTCCAAGGAGCTCCCGGGGGCGCGCGTGGTTCTCCCCGTGTTATCCTCGCAACAACAGCCCTGCGAGGTGGGTCAGGCGAGTGGCCCAAGGGAGCACCCAGGGATTGTCCTGGCCAGGTGGGGTGATTTGAACCCTGCTCTCTGCCCGGTCTTCGTCCTCATTTAGCCCCCACATGTGCATGACTGTGCATGACTGAGGTTTTCCCCCCTCGTCTTGGCTATGGTGTGAGTCTGTGCTGTTAATTAATGGGGTTCTGCCTTCGGAGAAGATGAGCCAGCCCTCAAGGAGATGATTATGTAATTTGCTAGCAATTCATGTCCCTCCCGGCGTGACGCTGCGCGCTGACGTCACGGGGCTGTAATGGTGGTGTGCCTCGAGATTTTTTTCATGAAACAAGTGTGCCTTTGCCCAAAAAAGGTTGGGAAACACTGGCCTAGGTCCTACAGCACCAGTGCAGCTCTCAGGAGAGAGCTAATGTGTTGTTTTCTGTGCTGCAGCGCCATCTAGAGAGGGGCACTGCAAATCTTCAGCCCAACTGAACCAGCTAGGTGATCTGGGTCACTAACTTATAGGCCTCCAGATGTTGGACTCCAACTCCCATCAGCCCCAGTCACCATCAGGGATGGTGGAAATGTAGTCCAGCAATATGCAGAGGGCGACAGATTTCCCCACCCTTTGGTTAAAGAAAGAGAAATCCAAATACATAGGTTTTTGTTTATTGTACAGTTTTATAGCAGGATTGGAGAAACTGTTGCTCTTCAGATGTTGTGGACTCACATCATTCCCAGCCAACATGCCCCTAACACACTGCTGTTTGTAAAATCCTGAATGCCTTATCCTCATTTATGTGCCACATTTTCAGATGGGCACAGACCTCAAAGATCCCTGGACTTTCTTATGAAGATAAGGTCTTTGAAATGCAGCAGGCCAGAAACAGCTGAGAAAATTGGGTTTATGTTTATTCAGAAGATCACTGCTTGAGATGATGCAGAAGAAAAGCTAGGATCTGTTTCATCTGAGGTCTAAAAAATTTTGGGGAGCTTTTGACAGCTGATACTGATCTACTGATAGAGCAAAAAAGAGGGGGAAGATTATGCCTTTAGAGGTGGGAAGTGGGGCGGGGGGTCTTTGATTTATCCGTTAATAAGCCTGTATCTCCAACACCACCTTTTGGTTCCTAATTCTCTTGGACTTTGTGCTTTCGAACAAGATGTGATAAGCACAGTGGGAGTGTGGGACATTTGCACATCATAAAGTAGCTGAGCTTTGACTATTTGAATTGGCAACGTATGATGAAGATGGGATGCAAAGGACAGGAATGACTATGGCAGCACAGAGTCAATGGTTCCTGTGAAATATGTAGAGGTGACTTGCAGCCTTACAATTTTAGATGTACACCTTAAAATGTAAAAACATGACTGTAGCAAACAGTATCAAAGAGGGACACATGGCAGGGCTCTGGGATTGGCTGAGGCTTCCCGTTGAGTGTTATTTGTTTCTTTTAAATTATGTATATAGACTGCCTTCTTCAAGCTTGCATTCTTAAGAACTCAGAATAAACATTTCTACAGACTCTCTCCCAAAGTAATAAAAGAACACTCAGGCCAAAATCCAAAACATATTTTCTGTAAGTCTGGGAGTTCAAATAAAAAATACCAGCCCCCAAAATGCATTGATTATGAGTAGGCCATATAAAACAGGCAGGACTCCAAGGCCTTCCAAAATGTCCGAAGTAAGGTAGCCTTCTGGAGAGCAGCTGGTCAGGTGTTCCAGAGCCATGGAGCCACCACAGAAAAGACTCTCTTTCTTGTGTTTCCCCAAACCTTGCTGATCTAAGTAGTGGGGCAGGTTAGGAGATCTGCTGGTGTAGACCTTATAGCCAGCACTTTGAATTTGACTAAAAACATGCTTGCAACTAGGGCACCTCAAAATTTCCTCCAGATGGTTGGGGGGCCACCTTCCACCCCATCCTGGTGGGTCCCAAACAGAGCAAGAATTATCTCCCCTCCTATTAGCATACATCTCTGCTGAATCAAAAGTCCTCCCATAAGCGCAAGGACACCAATTGTTTTTCACCCTATGAGTTTACTACCGAAAGCTGTCACATACCAGACAAAACATTGACAGCCATTTACCAAGCAATACTCTTCGGGATCAGCAAGCAGAGCAAGTAAAACACGCGCTTGATTTCACATAAATATTTTAATAACGTCTCAAATACAGGAACATATTGCAATGGTTATCCTACATTACGCAGAGACTTCCAAGTACCATGTAGGAAAGGGCTATTGCATTCGAAGAATACGATGGTACACAAGCCTAACAAATACCTGCACTGCCCTTTCAGTGAAGCCATCAGCACTACATTACTGAAAGCCTTCCAGATGCAGGGCAGAAAGGAACTGGTAATAATATCCCATTTCCTTTCCAGAACCATTCATACTATATATAGCATGCCCTTCAGAAACAGCCTATGATCAAAGTGCACGCTTGTACCAAATATGCAGTAAGTTAATCACTCAGCCTCTATGTTTTCAAGTGCCTGAGAATTGCAAGGATTTCAGTTAATGGCACTTCATGGAGCATATTGTTGCCTTTGGAAAGAAATTTCATTTTCCAGTCATTTTTTATTTTATTTTTTTGCTTCAGTGATGAGAATGCGAAAGAGCCAATGCTGTCAGTGAGAAAAAGAAACCCAGCACTGCAAAGAACAGAGCAGCCTTTGCCAACCAGGTGCCCTCCAAATGTTTTGGGGATATACTGTCCTGGGTAGGTGAGCATTGTATTCCAAAACTTATGGTTGGCAAAGGGCGGTGCACGACTTCTGAGTAGCAGCTGCTGCCTGCTAAAGAACCACCTTATAATTCAGTGTTGGAGGCCTTACTGCCAACCTCCAATGCCTCAATATACTTCACTTTATAAGCTACAGCCTTATTGAATGCCGTCAATGCCAGCCAGGGTTGCTGTCTTATAGATATGGGTTGCAATGGAAATTGAAGTCACAGTGAAAGCTATCTGTGAATTGTAGATTCAGCTGAGCCCTTGGAATCTTTTGAGAGTTTTTCTTTCTTTCTTTCTCTTTCTTTCTTTCAGAGTGTCAGGTAGGACTGGTGGAGGGAATTGTGTTACTGGTGTTTGTGTGAATGCCCTCGGGAAATGATCATTGAATGAGAAAGTTTTCATGATCCGATGCGATTACATACACCCCAAAAGTGAAGAAGATACATAGGGAGTAGGGAGACTTAACACTGGCTGCAAAGTTCTAATTCATGGAGTTTGACACTATATACTCACGTCGCCAGTCATATGCATTATACACCTCTACACACACGTTTTACAGGTCTAAGAAAAGACCTGAGTGGCAAACTTGCATGCACAGGCTGGCAGTGGGGGGCACATTCAGTGACAACACATCAACAGTACCGCTCTGCATATATCAGACCACTTACTCATCTGCATGACAGCAGAGCATCTCAAATCTATCATATGGATCCAGCTTTACATGATCACAACCTGCCTCTTGCATGAAACAAGTGTGCCAAGCAAAAAAATTCTATCAAGGGAGGAAAGAGAAACTGGGTTTAGAAGGTTAAAGCATTGGAATGAGGTTTCTCTGACGTTTTCCCCCCAGCTTCCCATTTTGTTCCCAATGGAAACCGAAGTGCGTTTCGGATGCTGTAGCTCCCATGGGAGCACAGAAGAGAACAGCCAGGATACTCTCATCCCCCACAAACACTTCAATATGAAATCCTACTTATACTGCGCCACACTTTCCTTTGTGGTTAGCTTCGGAACCTGCACTAAAGTGCATAGCTGCCCACAAATGTCAATACTTGCACAGTGGCCCTTCTACGCTTCACTCCATTTCCCATCCTCCCTGACCATTAGTCATGCTGGCTGGGGCTGATGGAGTTGTGGTCAAAAACATCTGGAGGGGTACAAGGAGCTATGATGCTGAACTGCACAGTGATCGTGGATAGCAGAAGGGCTTTTTACCTGCCCACGCTTCGGCTTTTCTCTTTGTGCACTAATGACATCGTAGGGCACAACCAACCACCAACAGCAGGAGGGTCCAAACTAAGCTCTCCCATTATCCATCAAGAAACACTGTCCCTTTGATTGTACTTCGATTGTACTTTACTTTGATGCTTCTTGACTGATTTGTTACAGCAGTTTCGTGTAATGGCTATTTGGTTTGTCTCCTTGAATGTGGAGGTGGAAAGACAGGATAGGAATCTAATAAATACGTAAATATCAAGAGGGTTTCGGAAACAGGCATAGACATAATCAGACCACAAAGACTGACCTAACGCAGCTCCTGGCTGCTACTGCAAATTCCTGAGTATGTAAGCCACCACTGGGGAGGAGAACAAAACTATCATATTCACAATTCTAAAAGAAAATTTCAGTGTTCCAAAATATCCCTGTTCAACCATAAGGAACCTGAGCTCCCAGCAAAGACAGTGTGGGGCTTTACATCAGCATCACTATTGTTCCCTTGTGTTCTACATCAGCATTTGCCAGCCTGGTGCTTTGCAGATGTTTCACACTACAACTCCCATCAGCCCTCAGGCTGGCTGGGGCTGATGGGAGATGTAGTTCAAGACATATGGAGGGCATCTGATTGGAAAAGGCTGTTCCAGAGGAATGGTAATCCCCTCTCTTCCTTGTTCCTATGCTGAAAATAAGGGGGGCAAAACAAAATCTGCATTCTACACCCCGAGCCCTTCGAGCATTCTATTTTTAGCCGAAAGCTGGGATATAAATTATCTTAATATATGTATAAATAAATAACAACATTCTCCTTCCCACCCTACCAGGGGTGTAAAATAAAACTGTGTTAACTTACATGTACTGAAGTTTGCCTGCATTGTAGGATTTATTCGATTTAGTAACTGTCACAAAATTTGGAATATCTTCAGCATGGAACACAGAGCCAGGTCAGAACAAGAACCTAATGTACAAAACTGTCCTGTGCCTTTTGCTTTTCTTGTAATGTTCTTGAATATTTTCAAAAGAATGCAAAAAGAACCTTGAATGCAGATCCTGTGGCAGACACAGATCAGGCTTTTAACTGTTCTGTATGGACATGAACCCATATCTGATTAAGTATATGCAAGAATATGCATGTACACACAATACTCTTCCAAAAGCAACTGGTCTTCAGCTAAGGCTCACTATCTTTGGCTGAAGAAGGATGGGATAAATCATCTCAAAATCCATGAGTTACATATTGCTGCTCCTATTTCTAAGACTCTCCCTTTAGTTAAGTGCTCATGAGAGGTAGCCCTTCTGATATGGGAGAGTCCCCAGCTTCTAGAAGCCACACTCTACAGCATCATCTTGCAAATGGTCCTCAAGGTGAGCTAGCTAGAGTACCTGCGCTGGAGAAATCTAATAGAAGGTCGCAAGGAAAATTCTGGACCTTGTGCTCATGCTTAAGGTCAGCCTCTTATGCGCATGAAACATGAGATGGGACAACCAGGTGCACATCATAATATAGGCTTGAGTCCAGATGACAGAGACAACTGCCCAGGCTTCCAGTGCCAGAAAGATGCACCCACATATCTGAGAATGGGAGTCTATTGCATGGAGTGGATTAGGTTAACCTGCAAGATTCTGACGTTAGGATACTCTGACAACAACCCAATGGAGGAAGGCCTTAGAAATTGATGCTCTTGTTCCTAACTCTAGCCTGTCACGATGCATGTTCTTATCAATTTATCTCAAATAACCTTGCACTTTTCAGCACACACAGCTTGGTACTGACATTACCAATCAAGCTCTGAGTGAAGTAGCTTCTTCATGGCAACAGATTCCCAACAGGCTTCACATTGGTTCCTGGCACCTTCTCCCCCAGCTGGAATCAATGGTCACTGTCCGTGGCAAGTTGCTAGCTGGATGGTGTCACCCTCCTGCCTCTCGGACTGAGGAAGCACTGCTCATGCATTGATGGCGTTTGCAACATCTGTGAACACAAGGCGACTAGGTCTCTGGAGCACCCCTTGATTTGTCTGTAACAAAAAAGAAATTGGAAAGAGACGGTGGTGGAAACAGATTTAAGAAGGAATTTGTGTGTACTTTACCCTCATCTGCTTCTCTGGGACCTGTAAAATGTTGCCCTCATAGGCAATCCTATGACAGAAGTAATGGTGAGCCAGATTCTTAAAGGTCCATGTATCGTAAAAGTAAATGCACAACTAATCTCTTGCTCTCTGGTGGCCTGGGTGGCAGGAAGTGGTTGTCCACAAACAAATGTTGTTAGGGGAAGAAAAACGCCAGGTGTGCAGGGAGGGAGAAATGAAGCAAAAATTGAATGCAGGTGTTGAAACTGCTACTGTCATGGCCCTGGACTTGGAATAGGGAGGAAAACACACTAGGAGAGGCCCCTGCAGTACCCGCCTCGCTGGAGTGTTGTCAGGAAGGGGACCCAAGGAGCTGGCACTGCCAGGTGGGTAAGGAGGTAGCCTTACCCTCCTCAGACTTTTCAGAACCCCCACTTGGTGGCACCCAATCACTACCACCCTATAGCCAGGGGCAGCTCCATCTGCTCACTTCTAAGCCATCTGCTATTTCTAAGCATGTTCCACTTTGGCTTAAAATCCCGCTAAACTGCCTCAAAAGCTGTTTGTTTGTTTTTTTTATTTATAATATCGCAGAACTGATTTCATCACGCTGAACCAGTAGCTCGTAATCTCCTTAGTTATCAATGTGAACGTGAACAGGTTCTTTGCTGGCATGAGCTTGTCGCTCTGATCATGAGCCAAGATAAGTTTCTCAAAGATACCAGGATTTCTCTACTGATCTATTACAGGATAGGTTCAGGTACAAGAGAAGGGTCTACTCTATTCCATTCCCACCACCTGCACAGAAACATACCGGATCTTCCTGTTCCTGCTGGCTAAGCTTTTAGAGAAAATGCGAAGAGAAAACAAACATACATTGTGAGATCAGCTAACGCTTCTCCTTTCCTCTCCTTCTTTACAGAAGCCATGGCTCAGTTCTGGAACTTGTTTCTATGCAAAAGCTTAATTTGAAGCATGCAGAGCAATAGTAAAGATTTCTTCTGAGCATTTGTGAAGCGTTTCTCCCTCATCACTTTTTAACACATTATTTTTACAGAACTCTGAGAGTTGCAGCCAATATAGGTTCCACTCTATATCACCTTGACTTCAATACATGCTTTACATTAAATGAAGGCAGAAGGTAGGTCGGGATCTAATGGATGATCGCTGGCTATTTGCAGTAGATTAGCAAGGTTTTAGTATTCTCAAGGGTGAAACAGCAGCAGCAACAACAAAAGCTCTTTACTCCCACAAATTATGTTGCTGCAAAGTATTTGCTTTATGGGGGAGGGTACCAGGCATGTATTTTTGAGTGAAAGAACTTGCAAGTTTGGTGCTGGTGCTGATCACAAATTCCTGGGCTGAGCATATGCTCAGAGGCATCCAGCCGGCCTGAGTTACTATTTTACACCCAACTGTCATTGGGGAACCTCAGAGTGCTGGTAAACATACACACACACACACACACACACACACACACACACACACACCAAAGGAGATCCTGCAGGCCTGGTCACCCCTGCTTTACATGCATGAGATGCCAGGTTCAATCCCAGAAACTCTACTTAAAGAACTTATGTCTGAAGAATTGTATCTTAAGCCTTGGAGAGCCACTGCCAGTCAAGAGTAGGCAATACTGGGTTATGTGGACCAATGGTCTGATGCAGTATAAAAGCAGTTTCACACATTTAGGACAAGGATTATAGGGCCATTACAACTGCCATCTAAACAGTTCAGCTGAACAAATGAATCTTCCAGGTGTCTCCTGCATTCAGGTTCCACTCACTTCATTTAATTAGCATTAGAGGTTGCAATCCTTTGTGCACTTACTAAAAGCAGCTCCCATTGAAATCAGAAAGTTGTGTGTCTGCGCGCGCACACACATATTGTTGCAATAACTTCAGCTAATCCTTTATAATCACTTACAGAAACCTTTTAATTTTGGCACTAAAATTGATCACAAATTCCAATCGCATATATGTACTTTGAAAAAGGGGGAAAGAGTCATGGCTTCAGAAGGAAAAGCAGCACAGAAAATCTTCTTCTAACCTGATGTGGGTCTAGCCTGGAGCCATGCAAGCAGAGATGATCACAATACCCCTTTAAGATACCAAACTATCAACGCCTTGGTCGGGGGCGGATGGGAGGATTACCTTATTCTGTGAAGCCTGCAAAGAAGCAGCATCTCTGCCATGCTCCAACAGCTCTTGTTCCAGCTCATCCTGTTCTTCTGCAGGATCAAAGTTGTACATGGGCATGAGCTGATGTCGCAACTTCTCTAGTCTACGGAGAGGAAACGGACAGTGAAAATTCCATCACTGTGAAGTTATCCGACTGCGCAGGAACATCAACGTTCCAGTTTTTGCTCAGCAACCGTTTAGAATTTAAGTACTCTGAGCAGGGACCACATCACCAAAGTTGCATTTAGGCTGAAATCCTATACGTATGTACTTGGGAGAAAAATCTCATTGAACTCAATGGGACTTATTTCTGAGGAGGCATGTATAAGATTGCTTTAATGGTACAATCTTTGGCTTGGTTCAGTCTCTGCTGCCTAAGTGCAGAGGTTATTACAGGAGATTTTCAAATACAGAAACAATCAGTCTCTAAAAATTGCTTTACCAACAGCAAGGAGCACTTACCGTTTTCTCTTCCTGATATATAAAACCTAGAAAAGCAGAAAGTTGTTGTAAGTACTGGAGAAACCTTTTCACACCAATTCCTAGGAAAAACAAGTACTGTATACACTTTGGCATGCAAAATTACATTGAGTGCAATGGGGCTTACTTCTAGGAAAGCAGGTGTAGGATTGGGGCATTTGTGTACACGAATGCACACTAGGAAGAACTATTTGGAAACCCAGTTAACTCAGTAACCAAGAGAGCAATCCTAGACATGCATAATCAGAAGGAAACCTCACTCCCAAATAAGCCCATATTGGATTGCAGCTTAATTTACAGTGCAACCCTTGGAAGCAAGTCACACTGTGTTCAACTACCTTACTCTCAGGAAAATATGAATGGGATTGCAACCTTGGGCTGCAACCCTATACACATGCTTACCTTGGAGCAAGCCCCATTAAGCGCAACATGACTTACTTCTGGGTAGACATGCACTGGCTTGGACTTCATCTCTGAAGCCAACGCTATAGCTAGACTTAATAATTATTCCCTTTTCCTAGGAAATGGCAGTTCTGTGCTTTTGGAGAGAAGGGGTGTCTTGGGATCTCCAACAGAGGATTTTAAACACCCAAATGAGAAAATAATTCCCAGGGTCCTTCGGTGAAAAGCCATGCCATTTAAACTGATACATGATCAAGGTAAACTGGCACCCAAGGACTGGCCCAGTCTTAGGCATTTTTGTACCCTACTTGAAATATTATAGTGGAGCTCCTGAACTAAGCAATCTGCAGCCCTCCCATAGGAACCACATGGTAGACACTGTCTTACCATAGCAACAGCCAACCCAATCACAGTGATGATGCCGAAGGACAGCAGCATGGTCCCCATGCCAGAACCATTGCCAGCCACATCTGGAATTTTGGTGCTGTTAAAGCTGCTGGTTTCAGGAGTCAGCGTAGCAGTTTCTGATCCAGCACCGTCAACAGTCATCCCATGGTCTGGCTCGGAAGTGGGAGTGCCACTGTGGTACAAAGTGTTCGCAGTGGATGTGCTATAATTCATTTTGGGCCAGAGCTTTTGGTTGTCTTCTCCTTGATTGATGCCTTGAACAACCAAGTTCTTACTTTTCTGCTGCAAAGTGCATTTCCTTGCCTCTTCAGTCAAGAAGCCTGATGGGAAAGCTCTTTCCTTGCATTTTCTTCCGTTGCTCCTATTGGCTAATCTCTAGCAATAGAGGGGAAAGGATAAATCAGTTGTTACCTCCCAAGGTATCCTTACAGCAACCCTATAAACTAGACTGGTATTCTTAGGACCATATTATAGATGAAGAGCTGAGAAGGGAGAGCTGCCTAAGACCAGTCCAGTTCATTCATGGCTGAGCTGAAATTTGAACCAAACTCTTAACCACTTTCCAACACTAATACTACAATCCTAGGCACATCTCCCCAGAAACTAGTCTCAATTGATCCCTTTTTTAATTTGAACATTCTGTTTTGTTAGGAATGCTATACTTTAGTTACTCAGCTCAAGCCTTCTGGATGGTGGCATGTGCCATAAACATAGATGTGAGTCAATCAAGTAGAAATAAGTTTAGCTGAGTATCAAGTAACTCACCAGCTGGCCAGCTGACCTTCTGGAATCTCACATGGCCTAGTCAGCTGGCCTACAGAAGTATCATGTGAGTGGACTTGGGTGTGGTCAAGCAACAAGGGCACAGTACTTGAGGTGCCTTCAAGGCAAGACTCAATAGCAATATCCCACGCCTGTTATTAATGCTTACTATTGCACTTTTGGCAATGAAACTTAGTTACCAACAGATCAGTTCTCCTGAATTGAATCAAGTCATTTAAACATATTCTCACTATAACAATGTCCTGTGACGCTAAGTTCAAAAAACAAACTACACGCATGCATTGTGTGAAGCACTTCCTTTTGTTGCCAAGTTTGTTTTAATGAAAGAGCAAGAATTCTTCAGTTTTAAGATAATGACTGTACAACCCTAGGCATCTTCACTCAGATGCAAGTCTCACTGAGTTCAATGGCATCTTCTCCCAACAGGAGGTACTGGGCATAAGACTGCAGTTATATTTTATCCCTGGGCACTCCATACTATTTGTTACTACATTTTTTAAAAAAAAATGCCATTGAAATGCCTTTTCCCCCCTGTGCTAAAAGTTCCTAATGATTAAGCCTTTCTTCTCTTCCAACTCCTAGAATGCACTTGCCCCCTTTTTTACATTTCCTCCTCCTGCCACACCATGCTTTTCTTTTAAATGAGAAAACTAGAAACTCACCCTGCACATATATGCCAGCATTCAGGTGCTATGCATGTTTATTCAGCAGTCCCAGTGGCGTAGCGTGGGGGGTGCAGGGGGGGCCGGCCGCACCGGGCGCAACATCTGGGGTTAGGGCAAATCCACAGGTTAGGGGGCGCAAATCCACGGGTTAGGGGGCGCAAATCCACGGTTAGGGGGCGCAAAATACTTGCCTTGCCCCGGGTGCTGACAACCCACGCTACGCCACTGAGCAGTCCCACTGTGTTCAGTTGGACTTACTCTCTCGTAAATGTGCAGCGCATTGCAGGAGACTCAGTTTTATTTTAACCCTTGAGGGTTGTTGTTTTTAACCAGACACTATTTTTGCCTTAATATTGCTACAGCTGAGTTGTCATCAGAGCTGACATTTTCAAAGAACTTTCGACCATGACCACAACATCCCATCCCTAAGCAGCCCTAACTACTTTGAACCTCACCCATCAAAGTTCATATGTGGTTAAGACTCTTTCCCCATCACGTCAGGTGTCCTTCTTTCCCCAGGAGAGGAGCATGCTCATGAGAATGAAGGAAACCAGGAAAGAACATCGGGACACTTTTTTATATAGAAGTCTATTTTCTATTTTTCTAAGCCCCTTCATGGATCACTGCCTTGCCGTGGCAAAGGGGCTTGAACAACTCAGAGAAGCTATGAGCTATGCCATGCAGGGCCACCCAAGATGGACAGGTCATAGTGGAGAGTTTTGACCAAACGTGATCCACCTGGAGCAGGAACTGGCAAGCCACTCCAGGATCCCTGCCAAGAAAACCTCATGGACAAAGACAACAGGCACAAGCTGGATTTCGAAGGGGCAGCGGAACCAGAGACCAAATTGCAAACGTGCGCTGGATTATGGAGAAAGCTAGAGAGTTCCAGAAAGACATCTACTTCTGTTTCATTGACTATGCAAAAGCCTTTGACTGTCGACCACAGCAAACTATGGCAAGTTCTTAAAGAAATGGGAGTGCCTGATCGCCTCATCTGTCTCCTGAGAAATCTCTATGTGGGACAAGAAGCTACAGTTAGAACTGGATATGGAACAACTGATTGGTTCAAAATTGGGAAAGGAGTACGACAAGGCTGTATATTGTCTCCCTGCTTATTTAACTATATGCAGAATTCACCATGCGAAAGGCTGGACTGGATGAATCCCAAACCGGAATTAAGATTGCCGGAAGAAATATCAACAACCTCAGATATGCAACATGCAAATAGATTTTCATTTCCCAAGATTGATTATCATTGTTATAAAAGACCAGCCTGGGTTTTTTGGGTGGAGGTGGGTAGGGAGCTATTTACCCCTATCCCCAAAGGCCCTGTTGAACCTGAAGAAGAATTGCCCGCTTGGCTGGGGCCTTGCATGGAAGTGCGTTTAAGCACTGAGAGAGAAAGAGAGAGTCAAAGAGAAACTTTGTCCGGGCAGAGCTCTGCTTATTGCAAGGGATGAGTCGGTTCCCAGCCACTTCTGAACTAAATCCAGCTCCCCGTCCCACTTCCCCAATTCCCAACGTGACAGACCAGGACAGCGAAAGGAAGCCTTCCAGGGAAAGGTACAACACATGATGGATGTCAGGGAACCGAGAATGATTTGGGGTTTTTGTCCCAGGGATGGCTGGCTGGCCTGGCGCTCCTCCCGACCGCCTCCACCCACCTCCGTGGCCTGCTTAAGAGGTCAGCGCCGTCCTCCTCGCTCCTTGCCGGGCGCGCGTGGCCGGGCCGGGCCCCGTTAGCAGCAGCCTAAACAAAACCATGATGATGACACCAGCACTTACGGAGGCGATCGCCGGGCAAGGAGGACCCGGGTCCCTTGCAAGTCCCGGAGACGTTGACCTGCTCGGGTTGGGAATGCAACCCCCGCCCAGCCCAGGATCGCGGGGGTCAGAGAGAGAGGGAGACGTTTGCCCCCCGCCCCCTTCTTTTGACACTCTGGCGGAGCCCCGTCTGCAACTTGTGAGAGTGGCCCTGGCGAGGAGGGCAAAGAGACGAGGACCAGCCAGGGGCGCTTGTGCTGGACGTGGAAGACTCTTGCCCCCCTCTCCGCTTCCCATGCAATGGCCGCCTAGGCTGGGGACCTCAGCACCTCGCTCTGGTTGCTGGGAGACTGGGTGCTCCGGGGGCTTTGCTGCTATTCGGATTACCTGCACAGGAAAGCAGGAGCTGCTGCTGCTGCCATGGTCTTACTTGCCATTGTTTTTCCCGAGATGCTGGGTGAAGCCCTTCCTCCCTCCCTCCTGTCACCGGCCCTCTTGATGCTCCGCTTTGATCTCCCCTTCTCCCTGGGATTGGCCAGTAGAGGACAGCGCTGTGGCTCGGGATTGGCCGGCCGGGATGTCACTCACAGCGGGGAGATGCCACCGCGAAGACATGGGCTGCAGTGCGAGCCCTGGAGATGAACGGCGAGAAGCCTGGATCCGGGCGCGTCTCGCGGTCGGCCGAAGGAAGCTCGCGTGCCCGGCAGGGCGAGGGAGCAGGCGCTTGAGCCGGTGAAAACTCTACTAGGGTTTTTCTTCTCGGCAGCTGCCCCTTATTGCTGTGCCCTTGGCCGGGACTAATGCATCGTCTAGTGCAAAGTGGTCCTCGACTAGTCAGACTGCCTACTCAGCAGTCTGCGCGCCCCCAAACCTATCCTCGAATTCCCTAACAATAAAGCAATTGGGGGGGTCTTTAATGTGTGCAACATACATTTGCTGTTGTTTTAACTACCTTTGTGAGGTGAGTGCTCTGCCCATGCTCAGAGGCTCCATCTCATGATTCTTACAGTTGTCTCTTGCAAGACATCAAATGCTGGGAGTGGGAGGCTTCCTCCCCACCCAAAACGCAGCACTCATTGTTGTCTGAACCCCCCTGCTGGATCTGCGCTTCCACTCAGCATGCATGTAGTCCATTATCAAAACCACTTCGGTTATTTATTTATTGACATACCTCTACCTTTGAGACCCCAGTGAGGGTGACAAGAAAGTGGCTTGAGGCCCAGTTCAGTTAGCAAAGTGATGCTACTAACCTGCATTTGTTTTTCTAGATATTTTTATGAAAACCAGTATGTGATTATTATTAGTAGTATTATGAAATAGTTAACAGTTCTCAAATTAAATCTACTTAGGACAGAATATCAAAGAAAAAGTGCTCTCTCAAGCCCACATTCCCAGCATGTTTGCAGATATCTACGCTGGTCATGTCCACAGAATGGAAGATGACAGGATCCCAAAGGATCCCCTACAGGGAGCTGGCTTCAGGCATCAGGCCTACTGGCAGACCAACTCTGGATTACAAAGATGTATGCAAATGTGACATGAAGGCTAGCAACATCAACCCTGCCATTTGGGAATCCCTGCAGTACCTGGAAACAGTCAGGCTGTGAATCCACAGCAGTGGCCAAAGGGGAATGACCACTGGGAGGAGCACAGAGAGAAGAAACACCATGATGCATCTGTAGCAGCACAACCTGACACCTTCATCTGCCCCAGCTACAATATATATAACTATCTCCTGTATTGGTCTCTACAGCCACAGCAGGCACTGTAACCTTACAACAGTTTGACTTCACTCACAAAGGCACACTCTATCAGGGTTGGAGTCAGACACAGGTCAGCAATAAAGGAAGCAGATCTCCATTATCTCTTTATTCAAGGAATACATGGAGCAGTTGCCAGGACTGAAGGTCCCTGTCTTTCACGCCTCTCTAAGGCTCTTTCCCAGCAGTCTCAAATTGCGTGTGCATACCTCTGGTCTCTGTCCTTCCCTCCTGCTTGTTCTGGGAGATGGGGGAGGAGGGGAGGAGAGCTTGTTGAAGCAGGACAGGAAGATTCCTGGGATTCTTCAGCAGCCTCCTGACTCCCCTCCTCTGCTTCACCTGCGGAATCTGAACTACTCTCTGGCACAGGCTCTCCCTGCTCACTAAACCTTGTTGCCCCTCCTCCCAATCTTCTCCCTTTGTCCTCTCCTCAGCGCCCCACCACTGATCTCCTGGCTCTGAGCCTTCCGCCTCCTGGGCTCCCCTTGGGGGTTCCCTGGCGGATGCCTCCCCCTACTCCTCTTCCTCCAGCCAGTCCCTGACACACTCCTCCATTGTCTCCAGAAAGAGACAGATGCTAAGAGACAACAGCAGAACAGCACCTGTGTGCAATCTCATAGCAGTTGTTTGGAAAGAAGCCCCAGGAACACAGTCAGGCTCCCCAGCCCCCGTTCTAAATTTAAGTCTTAAATCCTAAGAAACACTGAACACTGCAGGACTTCCTTCCAAGTAAACTTGCAAGCAAGACTCTATTTCTCTCTTTCGTGCACAGTTTTCTGCCGCAGCCACTCCTGTAGAACTGCTGCAATGGGCTAAAGCTTCCATGCGGGGTCCCCCTTGACTCGTTCGCTCTGCCTTTTACGGAAAATTGACGCTTTGAGGCTTTCCCTTTCGGGCGGAACTGTACGCCGCCGTCGCTGTTAGCGAGTAAGGCCGTGTTGCTTGAGGCCCCAAACGGAAGTGCGTTGCTTGCCAGTCTCGTAATTTGCTTAAGAGTCTCGCCTCCTGCTCTTGGGAAAGAAGCGCGGTAGTTGCATTGGTGCTTTGTCAATTTGCAGGTAAAAAAAGGAACAAAATATCTCATTGCCGCCACATTTTGGTATAATTTTTTTTGTACGCGTCCATGAAAGCCTTCCGTAAGGCTCCTCACTTGGAAGGAAGGACCTGCGAATTGGTCTCCCTCCTTCTCCCCGTCTTTAAATAGGACACCGTTCTTAAGCCAAGCTTCGTTCCCGCGCTTTATTCAGAATTTCTCTCTGACTTCATCTATCTGCTGTTCAGCTGCATTGATCGGGCGGCGGAAACGGCTCTGTGAAGGTTTAGCTCAAAATGGTTTAGCCTTCTACCACCCAACGAATAATGTATTTTAAACTGCAGTCGTTTGCAGCGTAAGGTTTGCACACTAACCTAGAAGTAAATCCCGTTAAACTCATGTGCAGGCATGTGTAGGAGTGCACTACTGGGCTTGGAATACTAGTTCCTATTTCTCCTGTTGATTGTATGTGACACTCTCACTGCTCACAGAGGATAGTATCTTCACAGCAGAAGGTGATGGAGGCAGGTATTGTTGCCAGAGGCATTTGTGCTTATTCCACTATCATCTATGTGTACAAGTTCCTGTCGTTGCTACCTGTTTGATCAGAAATGACACCAGAACAAAATAAGTGTGTGTGTGTGTTACAGGAAACAACTACTTTCAACTATTTCAGACTATTTTGTCAACTCTCATTGTCTGTGGCTACTTTCTGATTATTTGGAGAAAGGGGATAACATTCTGATCTGCTTGGATCATGACAGGAAGACATTTTTAAAAATGCAAAATAGGATCCATGTGGCACAGATAACTTTTATATGCTTTATTATAGAGGAGCCTTGGCACTTTTTGTCCGCACCTCCCATTCTATATTCCTATGCTTTGTTGCCTGCGTCAGCTGTCCATTATAATTTTTTTCACATGTGGGCAATTTGTGAACTGGTCAAGCATGAATTAAAAAAAAAAAGGTGTTGAACTTTTTGAATAAAGCAATATTTTATAGTCTAATCAGTCTAAAGCTGGCTAAATATCGGTCCTACTACTGCAGATGGTTGGAACCCACACCTCACTTAGATTCATTTTCTTGGGCCTAATCTCCTATGTAAATATATTTAGGATGAATGTCCCAGGCCACAGATCACAGAAGGCACTGTTAAAAGGAAATCCGCATGTAGTCAAGACAATCACACACAACAAACATACTCTGCATAACTGTGTTGGGAAGCCATAATTGACAATATCACCATTGCATCATGTATATAGCTGGGATTAGCAGAAGAAAGATCCAGACCCATTGGTAGCTCTCTGAATTATTTGAGAAGCCACAAAGTATGTAGTTGTATATTTTGAGTTCAATTCCGTTCTGCTACTCAAAACAAATTCCTGGGCTCAGAGTTCTTTCATTCTAAGTCTTTTGTGCTAAGCTCCAGTTGGTATATCTCAGAGTTCAAGTAAAAAACAAACGAGATCCCACAAGCTTATAGTCTGTGTACCCTTGGTGTATAGTATATGTGTGACAAACAACGTGTGTAGGAATTATGTAACACCTGAACAAGAGCCCTTGTAGTTTGCATTCAGTCCCCCCAGTGGTCAATAAGATGCCCTTTGGAAACCCACAAACAGGACATGAGCATACTAGCACCCTCCTGATTGTGAACTAGCCTGTAGCTTGAGTGTTGGTGAAAAGCAAATCTGGGCAGCTTCAGTACTGCTTAATTTTATTCAAATGTGGTTAGAATCACAATTATGGAAAGTGAAATGCATTATGCCTTCTTCATTTTCATGTGTCATATGAGTTCATCATTTATGCTGTGTTTATAATGACCTCTTTAAAAATTTCTTCAGCCTAAATTGTAAGTGAGCTTATCCTGAATTTGAGATGATTTCCTTTGGTTGTCTCTTTTTCTCTAGGTTACTACTGGATGAATGAATCACCTGTGTGCTCTGCAAGGACAAGAGGACACATGGAATCTCCTGTTGACATTCTGCTGTATAAGCACTGATGAGACTGGAGTGTCCTGTGTTGATATATTTTCTGAAACCAGACTGCTGGTGTTAGAGACTTGTAGCGTACTTTGGTGGCCTATAGAAAGTTGAGCCTGTTCTCATTCTTGGAAACCATAACCTTCTGGAGCCATGAAAGTTCTTACTAGCTCTTTGTACAGGAAGCTTTTGAGTTTGTTTCCTCATTTTGGGAAGAGTCCTGCCAAAGGCTCCAATCTAAATCCCTGTCACAGACTGCTACGAAAGTATTTCTGTTATAAGGCAGGTGTGGTTACAGCTGCTGACTTGGTCAACTACTGGCAAGGCGTGTTTGAAGTGAATGAGATCCCCGAAGCACAGGCATCTTCCGAATATATTGTTTCTCATGTCCTGGGAGCAAAAACAGTTAAGTGATGTGGGTAAAATAGTGGTTGTCTTTGCAGAGCACTGAAATGAATGTTGGAAGATCTGCCTCATGTCTGATTCACTAGCCAGCAATTCTGCGCTCTAATATATCACAAGCTTCTCCAATGAAGTAAATAGTGCTTCTTGTAGACAGAGAGGCTAAGCCTTGACCTCCTTTTAAATAACTTTGCTCTGTTCTGATCAAGGTTCACCAAGCACATCGGCTGTTTGCAGTAGCATCCAAGTACAGTTTATCCTGTTTACATCATTGATGCTTTTTCTGGATTGCTATTTATATCTGTTTGTAATGGCTAAATAATTGCTTAAACAGTTCCACAACTGGAAATAAGTTGTACCACTGTGGATGTTTGGCAGCATGCTATTTGGTCAAAATGTCTGACATTTAAGTTTGCCCCAATTTTCATAAGCCCATAATTTTTGGTTTGAAGTACTGCAGAGGACATAGATTTTTTACTGCTATGCCATCAGAAAGGGAGAGACTGTTCAGAAGACTTTTTACAAGACTGGTAAATGAGCCCACAAAGTTACTAGCCAGCAAAAAAGAGAGAGAAAGAAACGAATGAATAATTAACCTATTAAGCATCCAATAAACAATAGCTAATGTTTCTAGCTTAATAAGAGATTAGTAGCCTGCATTTCCTTGGTGGAAATCCTCTGTGGTCAGCATGGAAATGCAGGCTAGTAGCCTCTTAGTCTAGTGTATAAACTTGCCTTCCATTAAGTGAACTAAAAAAGTAGGGATGGAACATTTAGTTCATTCTGTACCAGTCCGCTTGGTTTCCGTGCTAGTCTTGGTGGAAGGGTCTTTCCTTTCTGCATGGCAAGGCAGAATGGTGGAAGGAAATCACAACACTCTACCCCTCAGCCACCATCCTTGTTCACTTCTGTGCTGGCTACTTAGGATAGGAAGCCTAAAAAACCATCCTCTACAGACCAACTGCTCCTCTGCATAGCTACAGTTGTTAAATGCGAGGCTGCTTTAAAAGGGACACAATCATGTAGAATGGGCCTATCAACAGCTTTTGGTCATAATAGCTATTAGGAACCTTTGTTCATGAGGCAGTATGCCAGTGAATGGTTGTTGGACTATTTCCTTCATTCCCTGCATGTTGGTTTTCCAGATTAATCAAGTTTAGTGGATTCTGTGGCGTTCCAGAGGTTGATGGATTTCAGCTCTCTTTAGGCCCAGCATGGCCAATGGTCAGGGAAGATGGGAGTTGTAGTCTAGCAATGCGGGTGGCGCTGTGGGTTAAACCACAGAGCCTAGGGCTTGCCAATCAGAAGGTCGGCAATTTGAATCCCTGCAATGGGGTGAGCTCCCATTGCTCGGTCCCTGCTCCTGCCAACCTAGCAGTTGAAAAGCACATCAAAGTGCAAGTAGATAAATAGGTACCGCTCCGGCGGGAAGGTAAACGGCGTTTCCGTGCGCTGCTCTGGTTCGCCAGAAGCAGCTTAGTCATGCTGGCCACATGACCGGGAAGCTGTACGCCGGCTCCCTTGGCCAGTAAAGCAAGATGAGCGCCGCAGCCCCAGAGTTGTTCGCTACTGGACCTAATGGTCAGGGGTCCCTTTACCTTTAACGTCCGGAGAGCCGCAAGTTCTCCACCCCAAATCTAATTGTTCATTGGGAAACAGAATGCTGTTTTAGGTAGACCTTTGGTCTCACCCAGCAGAGCTCTTATCACAGTACAATGGAGAGGGTAGGTGGGCTGACCATCAAGAGAAGCATTTAACCCTCCTGGGTGCTGAGTTCAGTTTTGTGGGCTACCAGAATTTAGTCTAAATGCCTGTAAATAACTTTTCAGTTCCAGAGCTTGAATGCCAGCAGCATCTCTACTCCCCTCTCTGCAAAGCAACAAGAACAGATCCAGCAGCTATGTGCAAAACGGCTACAAAGGTGGGTACTTAACGCTGATTTGTTTCACTTTCTCAAGGACTTTGCAGAAAAAACATGTTCTATTAGGGTGCCTATTAGGATGCCTGTGGAATGTCAGACAGCTAAAGTAGTTTTAAAATGAAGACAGGGGTCAAGTCCAGTCTTCAAGGTTAGAAGGATATGTTTAAATTCATTCCTTTTAATGGGAATTGACCTCAATTTAGCTTAGAAATATGCACCCTTACATATTACTTAGTAATTAAAAAAAAATGCAAGACAAACCAGTAGGTACTAGTGCTAGAAGTAGCTGCTGAGCTATCGCTACCACTCTGCAGTATAGTAGCAAACATTTAGCCATCCATTTAGCACTTTAATAAATCATGAAAACCTTTTTAAATCCATAGGGCCTTTGCAAGAACTGAGCCAGCAGAGAGGTGCAAGTAACAAGCTGGACTGCTAGGCTTACATAATGCCATTCAACAATTAAGTGGCCTTAAATAATTTAAATAAATGAGGCATTTCCAGCAAAGAGATGTCCAGGGTAGATGGAGAATATTTAAGGCTTGGATCGCTGAAGTGTGTTCATCTATGGTGGCTGAATCAGTTCTGTAGATTTCTTAGCACCCATAATGACAATTTTGCATGCATTTTAAAGCCACAATTTCTTAAATTATTTGTGAGTTTAGAACAATTAGGGTTAAGAAAATGACAGTACAGTATTGGAACTCATTGTCTTGGATAGTGAATCGAATTGGCCACTGTCTCTTTGGTTCTGATTTTATAGCAATCTGCATACTAATTAATCCTCCTGGTGAAACAAATAAGCTGTTATTGCTGTGTTAATATGTTTATGCTTTAAAACTTAGGAGAAATACAAGTAGCCCCACTGTTAATATTCCATATTTTTCACAATATAGAATCGGACAGAAAACTGGACTTCTTTGAATCTGGGGTCTGTTTCATTGTACTCTAAAGGTAAAGGGACCCCTGGACGTTTAAGTCCAGTCAAAGGCGACTATGGGGTTGTGGCACTCATCTCGCTTTTCAGGCTAAGGGAGCCGGTGTTTGTCTGCAGACAGCTTTCCAGGTTCTGTGGCCAGCATGACTAAACCGCTTCTGGTACAACAGGATACTGTGATGGAAACAAGAGCGCACGGAAACACCGTTTAACCTTCCTGCCACAGCAGTACCTATTTGTCTACTTGCACTGGCATGCTTTTGAACTGCTAGGTTGGCAGGAGCTGGGATTGAGCAACGGGAGCTCACCCCGTCGCGGGGATTCAAACTGCCGACCTTCTGATTGGCAGGTCCAAGAGGTTCAGTGGTTTAGACCACAGTGCCACCTGCTTTCGAACTGCTAGGTTGGCAGGCGCTGGGACCGAGCAACGGGAGCGCACCCCGCCGCAGGGATTCGAACCGCCGACCTTTCGCTCGGCAAGCCCTAGGCGCTGAGGCTTTTACCCACATCAGTTCTTGAGTAGGGTTTAAATCCTGCTGCTTTGTGAGAGCCAGTGTGGTGTAGTGGTTAAGAGCGGTGGACTTCTGTGGTGTAGTGGTTAAGAGCGGTGGACTCGTAATCTGGTGAACCGGGTTCGCTTCCCTGCTCCTCCACATGCAGCTGCTGGGTGACCTTGGGCTAGTCACACTTCTCTGAAGTCTCTCAGCCCCACTCACCTCACAGAGTGTTTGTTGTGGGGGAGGAAGGGAAAGGAGAATGTTAGCCGCTTTGAGACTCCTTAGGGTGTTGCTCCTGAGGTCTTCTCCACCCTCCCAGGCCATTTGTCTCTGTTGTGAGCTATGTATGCCACACAGCCTACCCTGGGACCCTAACTACCCTGTTCCCTCAGGTGCAGTAGAAGATGGGTGAAAGGAGAGCTTTTTGATCTCAAACAACTCCCCCATTTCTCTCTGTGTCTTTTTACATTGTGTGCCTCAGTTTGGAAGTTCATTTTTCGGCGGATGCACTTCATCTTTATTTATGGAAATATATGTGCTTTGACCCGGCCACCACTAGAGGCTGTATTTGCACAGTTCATGAAACTTTTCAGTGCAAACCTGTGTGTTTGCTTACTCAGACTTAAGCCCCATTGAGTCCAGTGGGGTCTACTCCTGAGTAAGTAGGCATAGGATTGCAGTCTTATATAGGTAGCCATAGTCCATACTTGACCATTATGGTTTGTTGCGTGTTGGGCTTAGGAGATCTGTCTGTGTAATTTCCTTTGCTGTTTTCCTCTGCTATTCTTGTCTACTTTCTGGTAGAAAGAGTGACAGGGTACCAGACCAGATGCATTTTCCACCCGATGTGAAAGTTTTGGAGTGCAATTGCATTCTGAAGTTTGGTGCTTTCTTTTGAAATAGATATTTTAAGTTTGGTGCTTTTTATAGCTGTAAGGCAAGACTTGCTGCTCAGCTGTGCATTGGGTATTGTTTGCATTGTGTAGGAATTACCGTATTTTTTGCACCATAGGACGCACTTTTTCCCTCCTAAAAAGCAAGGGAAAATGTGTGTGCGTCCTATGGAGCGAATGCAGGCTTTCGCTGAAGCCTGGAGAGTGAGAGGGGTCGGTGCGCACCGACCCCTCTCGCTCTCCAGGCTTCAGGAAGCTATCCGCTAGCCGTGGGAGACCCAGCTCTCCCACGGCTAGCGGAGCGCTGCATTAATCCCGAAGCTTGGGGCGTGCGGAGCTCAGCGCGCCCCAAGCTTCTGGGTGCCGGAAAGGTCTCGCTAGCCCTGGGAGAGCCCCGCGACGTTGCGTGGCTCTCCCAGGGCTAGCGAAGCGCCGCGCTAATCCCGAAGCTTGGGGCGTGCGGAGCTCAGCGCGCCCCAAGCTTCTGGGCGCCAGCAAGGTCTCCGCTAGCGCCCAGAAGCTTGGGGCGCGCTGAGCTCCGCATGCCCCAAGCTTCGGGATTAGCGCTCCGCTAGCCGTGTCTAGGCTGCGGATAGCAGCCTGCTTCCCGGAGCGTCGGGCGCCCTGAAAGCAGAGCTCCAGGCGCTTCGGGAACACATCCGCAGTGTGGGGAGCCTTGCAGGAATTCCCCACAGGGCTCCCCATGCTGCGGATAGCAGCCTGCTGCCTGGCGGGTGGGGCGCCCTGAAGCAGAGCGCCCCTCGCGCCAGGCAGACATCCGCAGAGTGGGGAGCCTTGCAGGAGTTCCCCGTAGGGCTCCCCACGCTGCGGATAGCAGCCTGCTGCCTGGCGGGTGGGGCGCCCTGAAGCAGAGCGCCCCTCGCGCCAGGCAGACATCCGCAGAGTGGGGAGCCTTGCAGGAGTTCCCCGTAGGGCTCCCCACGCTGCGGATAGCAGCCTGCTGCCTGGCGGGTGGGGCGCCCTGAAGCAGAGCGCCCCTCGCGCCAGGCATACCTCCGCAGAGTGGGAAGCCTTGCAGGAGTTCCCCGTAGGGCTCCCCACGCTGCGGATAGCAGCCTGCTGCCTCGCCGGTGGGGCGCCCTGAAGCAGAGCGCCCCTCGCGCCAGGCATACCTCCGCAGAGTGGGGAGCCTTGCAGGAGTTCCCCGTAGGGCTCCCCACGCTGCGGATAGCAGCCTGCTGCCTGGCGGGTGGGGCGCCCTGAAGCAGAGCGCCCCTCGCGCCAGGCATACCTCCGCAGAGTGGGGAGCCTTGCAGGAGTTCCCCACAGGGCTCCCCACGCTGCGGATAGCAGCCGGCTGCCTGGCGGGTGTGGCGCCCTGAAGCAGAGCGCCCCTCGCGCCAGGCATACCTCCGCAGAGTGGGGAGCCTTGCAGGAGTTCCCCACAAGGCTCCCCACGCTGCGGATAGCAGCCTGCTGCCTAGCGGGTGGGGCGCCCTGAAGCAGAGCGCCCCTCGCGCCAGGCATACATCCGCAGAGTGGGGAGCCTTGCAGGAGTTCCCCACAGGGCTCCCCACGCTGCGGATAGCAGCCTGCTGCCTGGCGGGTGGGGCACCCTGAAGCAGAGCGCCCCTCACGCCAGGCAGACATCCGCAGAGTGGGGAGCCTTGCAGGAGTTCCCCACAAGGCTCCCCACGCTGCGGATAGCAGCCTGCTGCCTGGCGGGTGGGGCGCCCTGAAGCAGAGCGCCCCGCCCGCCGGACAGACATCGGCCAGCCCCACAAGCTCGGGGGACAGCAGGGAGGCGCAGCGCCACTATCCCGCTGTTCCTCGACCTGGTTCGGTTTCCCTGACCTGCTTTTGGGGGGGAAATAAAGGGGAAATTTTTTTCCTTTATTTCCCCCCAAAAAAACTAGGTGCGTCCTATGGTCCGGTGCGTCCAATCGTGCGAAAAATACGGTAATGAGTTCTTTTTTTAATACTCAGGACAGGGGAAAGCATTAGAGAGCTTCAGCTTCCTTTAAAAAAAAAAGCAACCTACAAATATCTTTGCAGAGGAGTGGGGTGGAGGAAACCTGTGGAGAAAATGGAAGGTGAAACTTGCGTGCAGTTACTAAGAATTCAGTGCTCTTCTATTCATGGGAAATAGCACTGTGTGCATGTGTTAATCGTGTGTGATTGGATTTAGCCCACTGTGCTCACCATTGGGCCTTCCCACTTCTGGAATGTGGCCCCTGACAGCTTTCCACTGGAGTAGTGTGGCCCTCTGCCCAGAAAAGGTTCCCCACCCATGAGTTATGCTTCTGTTCCATAGCAAGGCACTTCTGGAAACATGGGAGCCTACTCTGAACCTGTGCTTCCCTTCAGGCATTCCTTTCCATGCTAGAGTGTTTTAGCCATCTATCTATTAATGTTTTTTCCAACCACGTATGCAAAGCAGCTAGTGATATTATAATTTATTGACTACATTTGTATCACACATTTTCTTCAGTGAGCTCAAGGTCATTTACATAGCTCTCCCTGCTATTTTATCTGCAGAACAATCCTGTGTGGTACGTTAGGCTGAGACAGTTGCTGGCCCAACGTCACCCATTGAGCTTCATGGCTGAGTGGGGATTTGACCTGTGTCTCCTCAATTGCACTCTTAACCACTGTAACACAAACACATATTTTTGCTGGCATTTTGCTACCACCAGATGTGGCATGGTTATC